ATTCTGTCTATAATTGGTACACCATCTCTCTTTCAGCGTTTTAGACGCTGTATTAATGACAACTATCAGGCAATGATGCCATGAGAATTATGTTGTCTGTCAGTTCTCTGCCTACGCAGGAAAACGAGCCCTTAAATTTACACTTACCTTCTTTCAGCGTTTTGTATTTCAAGTACACCAAGAAAAAAAGCTCCAAGTAGTTCTGAATATTTAAGTTTATTTTCATGTATTGCTGGTTAAGTTAATTTCATGTATTTCATGTACCAAACCTGGGCGGCGCAGCACGTCCGTGAGGTGGCGTCGAGGCAAGCCCTTGACGTCCCCTCATGGGAGGCTTAGGCCCGGCCACCTAAACCTGCTGGTTTTTTACAATAAAGTTTATTCCTCCTCCTCCCTTCACGACATAACTTTTAGCCATAAATCAAGAAGTATTTATGGGAATCTCTTCAAGGTTCCTATAAAATATTTTAACTAAACTATATGGAACCCTGTATTTCGTTCATTTAGATAAATTTTTGCACTTACCTATAATTTGTAATCCTAGCTCTGCTCATAAATGTATATTCTGCAGTATAAATATGCAAATCCTTTGGGTTTCTTCCATTTATTTATTTATTTAGCTAGTTATTTATTTATCCATATCAGCAAAGCTGCATAAGCCAGCCATAAAAGCTTTGATGTCTGCAGAAAACCACAGTCGGGTATGCACCACATGAATTGGACAAGCCCCATTACCGAGTAGAGCAGCTGCGACCGTTGACGAAAACTCCACTCGGCGAATAAGGGGATCATGTGAAACGCGGGAAAGAGATAAAGAGAAGGCGATGGAATGGAAGTGAAAAAGAGAAGTGCAGTGAAATAAAGAAAATAAATACATAAAAAGATAGAAATAGAAAAACCGAAATCGAAAGAAACGGACACAAGAAAAAAGAGCGAATAGAAAAACAGAGGGCATGACCAAAAGAGAAAGAAATACATAAAAATAAGCAAAAAGAAGATGGCAAGAACGAAAGAGTGAAAAGATAAAAAGACAGAGAAAAACATAGAAATGCATACATAGATAGATAATGAAATTGAAAGAAACAGACACAGGAAAAAGATGAAATTAACAGAGAGAAATAAATAAAGAGAAATATAGAGAGAAATTAAAAGAAACCAAAAGGACGAAAGAGCAGGAGAAGAGAAACAAAGAAAAAGAAATGAAGATGAAAAGAAAGAGAAAGAGAAATAATAGATAGAAAGCAAGGTAAATAAAGAGAAGGGGAAAAAAAGCAACGCCTCCTAGAAAAATTATGCCTGGAACGTGAGCCACGAACGCGCCGCCCTACCCTCGGATTTCGCCCTCCCCCTCTGGTACTGAGGCCAGCGCCTGTGGCGGTCGCCCCCTGTGAACACAGCAATGCTCTCACAGTTGCCCCCGAGCAGCTGTGATGTCACGGGACAGAGCAGTACGGTAATGTCACGTGACAGAGCTGTACGGACGTGAGCGGTCCCACGCGGCGGACGGTCGCAACACGCGGTAGGAGGCATGGCCTCAAAGATTTTGTGCTGGCAGCAAGCTCTCAATTGAAGAGAGAGCCACGTTCTAGGCATAGTTTTTCTAGAGGCGTTGAAAAAAGTCACAGCTTTGCCGCAAAGGCGAACCAATGAACGAGTTAGCAACAAATTGGAAGGACACGCGCAGAATAGCAAGCAGATCGAAACGTGCCCCGCGTTTTTCACGCACAAAGGACGCACGAAACGTACTCACAGGTACAAATTAACGCGAATAAGCGTTTCAGCTGTTACCTCGCTGTGTCTGAAAAGCGCGCCTTTTTCACAAACAGAGGCTGTGCAACGATTGCAGTGACCTTTGTGCGCCCGCTATCTACAACAGAATCGTTCAGACGAAACTCAAAGGCTAGCCAAGACGTACGATTCTCTCCACTGCAAAATAAGGGCGCGCGATCGAGCGTACACCCCTTTATTCTCTACGCGGGGCAAAGTACGTGTGAGAGATGAGAGCTGCCGCGTGCTCACTGCGCCATCTTTCTGATAATGCTGAAAACACAATAGTCCCCCCCCCCCCCTCCCGAGATGCCCGCCAACAGCGGTAAGTGGTAGATATAAATAGCTTGCCATTTGAACGTTGAAGGAGGTATAGCTCTCCGTGGCTAAGAGCTCTACATGGGAACGAAAATCTAGAACGAACTAGTTTCGGCGTGTTAAGCAAGGAGGGTTATCTTTGTTTCTGTCATCTGTTTGTCATCTGTTTATTAACCAAGTGATGTCACGTTTTCTGCTAATAAGCGATCAGAGAGACGCTTTTGATGTTCTTTGTTTGAAACAACGCTATTACTCCACATGCCTGACTTTTTTGTATCTTCAGACAGGGGTCGACGGCACACCTTGTCACCGTTCTTGCGCGAAGTCGTGTTCTCATATCGTTTCTTAAGGGCAGTGTTTTCGATAGATTACCTAACTAAAGTGAAAAAAAAAAAGCGCCTTATGAAAGACTTAATGCAGAATGTTTTTCCTGTGCCCCTTTATCGTTCAAAGTATGAAAAATCATATGGACAAGACGTACTAAAGCGAGTGAAAAACATGTGGACACTACCCAATGTTAAAACTTTCTTTTTCAAACTTCATACTACGAGAACCTTGCCAGTGAAAACGTGGCTTGAATAAAGAGGGACGTATGTACCCTGAAAAAAGCTGCTTTCTCCTGTGTAACAAACCTGAGACCATTCAACATGTATTTATTGACTGTAAGACTGCCATTTTCTTTTGGGACATTTTACAGAGGACTTTAAAAAAGATTTCCCTCTTACTCCACACGGAATCCGTTTTTTGCCTTGTGATAGTTCTGTGCAACATTTGGACGTTATTTTCTTACTTAGTCTTCATTCCGTTTGGCGTAGAATGCTTTCTTACAAACACTGTGATGTAGGAGTTCTATCCGTTCATGAGTGTTTCGTGGAAGTTGTTATCAAAGTGCGAGATGTGTATATGACTACCGACTGTGTTGAAGGTGTAATATCTTTGTTTGATGCGTTAACACACATGAAACACTGTGATGTGTGATTGTCAGATTAACTCGACCTGCATTCAAGAAGGCAATAAAGAGAAAAAAGACCTCTCGGTGGCTCAGTGGTTAACGCTTCGCGATCAGGACGCGGAGGTCCCACGTTCTATTCCACGCGCCGCTGTCTCTCTCCTGAATTTTTTTTTCCTTTCTTGCGTTTTCATATATATAGATACGTATACATAGACGGTGCATGACATCGATGCCGGCGGCGAAATCCAGCCGAGAGTTTCCATATTATTGCTTTTCCAATAAAAAGAAACAAGGAAGCCCACTCCAGTCTTCTTTCAGGCAAGTATATAAGTATATATATTCAAGCATATAATTAGGATGTTACATTGGGAGTCGGAGTAACACGAAAGTAAAACGTGTCGTTACAGATATAGTTGAATGTTTACTGTACATTGATATAAGAGAGCTTCCATTATAACTATTGGTGTTTGGAGACTACAGCACTATTAACGTAGATATACTCAAGTTGAGACATCTTCATCCCGACGACTAACGTCATGAATGAATAAAGAAACCTTTTCGGTAGTTGTAGTAGTTAGCAGTGAGAGCTTAATGAGAGAAAGCGGTGTGACAGGCAGAAGAGTGTCGCTGATTGGACGCAGAACTTGGGCTATAAGGTCGCCATCCCACGGCAGGTTCTAAAGCTATTGAGCACCAAAGCCAGACTACAGGGAGAAGCATCCGCGCATCGCGTCTCCCGTCTAACCCGGCCACAATTTCTCTCGAAGTTGGCGTAAGCGGGGAACACAGTGTCATAACGAAGCGAGGCAGGCACGTCGCAGCGCTATGTTAAATATCAATGAATGCTATGGGTGAGGCCGAGGTTCGGGCTACGGTGTCAAGGCGTTTACCAAATTGGGCCCAACGGAATGAATGCATAGCAATGAACGAAGTCTTGCAGAAACTAATCGTAAAAAACAGGGTCATGGTGCATTACTTTACCACTCCCAGATGCTGACAACACCCCATCGGCCAAATGCATTGTGAGAGGAAACTGAAAAATTAAACGCGCGTCAGTAAAGCATCTGAACTATGGAAGCATGACGCAGTGGATGACATGCCTGGTATCTGTTGTCGCAGACCGGGAGGTCGTTGGATAAATCATCATTAGCAGAACTGTTTTTCTTAAAAGTTTTTTTTTCATGCCATCTGATCATGTGCATTTTTGATGCAATTTTTATGATGAAAGTATGCCACGGAAGTCTTGGTGGACCACAGCATAAAACAATTTCTTGTTGAAGTCACAGGGTCTCTTGTCGACAACTCGCATTTCCCTTAGACGACTCGAACGTGGAAACCATCTCATTTCTGTCTGCTCAGTCGATGTATAAAGAAGGAGCAGGCAAAAAAAGTCACATGCCACTGCAGAGCGCAGTCTTCATTTTCTTTTGTTGTGGTCGTGAGCTCACCGGTTTTGTTCAAAGGAGGGCAATACAACGGAACGCCACATGACATCGCACCAGCACCCTTGACGTCATCATGACGTCACAAATTTAAGCAATCCGGGACATCATGAAAACGTCATCATGACGATGGTGCGTTTTTGTACCTCACTCCCCGATGCCGTGGAATGGTCGCTGCCGAATGTGTAATCACCAAAGTATATTAACTATTGCATATAAATACTCACATTCCACTGTGGTATGTAGCCATTATTCTCAGTCCAATTGGTAGATGATGACTAACATTTTCGCTAGATATTTTGCGCCACGAAAATTTACTCGTAGGCTGGTTCTATGAATTCTGCTCTGGGCACTGTTTTGCCAATCGATTGAAACTTCAGCAACTTGTTCCTTGTCGCTTTCAGATGGTGACCTAGCATCAATCCTACCGGCTCTGCAGGCCTTGGCACCGCCCTAAAAACGTGCCTTTACACAGGGAATCTCCTACGTTGTTTAATCCGCCCCAGAGTGTCGTAGCCACCATGAAGTCCATGGCAGATGCGAGCAACGTTACAAACGACGATGGCTACGTAGGTCACAGTTACCAGGACATTTCTTGGGATGACGCCACCTGGATCATGACCAGCTCCTTCATAATCTTCACCATGCAGTCAGGTAAGTAGCGTACAACACGAGATCAAATCAGAGGCGTATACATGTCTCATTCACCTGGAGGTGGTGACTCAGCAATATCGTCGACCAGAAAACAATAATGAGGGGGGTGGGTAAGGTAAAGCCTTACTGCACAAGTATGCATACAGTGAGGTACTCAATGTCTGTCATTGTTAAGATTCACTCCCTAACCCCGGCCGCAGGAACACGTCGTACACGTATACATCGAAGTAACTAAATTCTTTTACCTGGCGGGAAAAGTCTACCCTTCTGCGTACCTTAAACTCAGCATACTGCAAGCCGTCTCCATTCGACTAATACGGACCAGATCATATCCCAGTATCGCGTTCCCCCACGAGATCTACCAGGAAGTCTTCCCTAACGGGCTACGCTCGGTATGTGGCGAAAGAGAGATTCGATCGTATCGTGAGCACTTGCCAAACCATCGACTAAAGCTTCACCTTGGAGAAGTGGGAAACCGTCTGAGAGTGGGACAGGCAGGCTCGGCTTGTCAGCCCCAATGAAGTGGTTTTAAATTGGATGGTTATGGTAAAATTCTGTTATTAAAACAAGAACTCATGCATTCAACCAAAACGACTCGAAGGTAGAAACCAACTTATTTTTTTTTTCCTTCTCTAGCTGTCAACGTATCGATTCTCTCCCCCGCCCCCACCCTCGTCTAAAAACTTTGAGCACGCAACGTGTTTTTGTATTGCCTCCAGGATCGGAGGCATTGCAAGCTCTTCTGCACCTCACCTTGTTTTGCACAACCTCCGTGATTCGCTCACCTTCAACCAAGCAACGATGTCATGACGTCACAGCGATGTCATGAGGACGTGACAAATTCTAGTGATTTGTTATTTTGTCATGGGATGATGATTCGTCATGTGTCGAAGATTTCAAAGAGGAAGACGACGGAAAAAAATCCTTGCCATCCTGTAACTGACGCTTGTGGATCGCACCACCAGAACGAACTGATGCAAAAAATAAATAAAAAATAAAAAGCATGAAGTCAGCAGTCAGATGCATTTAACGGCGATGCCGCCCCCTACATCAACTGTGTATTGGTGGAAATGAACCATTATTATTATATTATTATTATTATTATTATTATTATTATTATTATTATTATTATTATCTTCAGTATTGCATAATTCATTGATTAATGCGGTATTCGGGTGACCGTTTGAGAGTGCTCCGGCCGGGAAGGCAGAGCACCTTTGTCAGACAGGCGATGGACTTGACTGACCTGAGCTCGATTCCCGCATTAGGGGGAATAGTTCAGCAACATTGAAGCATCATGTTCAAATAAACCATTCTATACATATCTTCATATCTTTTGATATACTGCTGGGTGACTGACACATTTTCCTATAGAAATTCTGTCGGATGTGTTTCTTGTCCAATGTACCATGCCACAGCAAGTGACTGACAAGCCCACATGTGCGTTAACGATACTGCAGTTATCAGTGGGTCGTGAAGGAATACATAGGCTAAAGAACATAAAAGTACTTGTTTATGGTATAATTTCACGGCCTGGAATGCCTGAACATAGATGCGAGTGTCCGGGGGAGTTGAGGATAAGGGTAGGTTACCCCCGCCCAATTTACCTTTGGGAGGGTTGAGAAGGGGGGGGAGGGTACACCGCATATTGTTACTTGGTGAGACGTGTCCCGTCAACCACGCAGGTTTTTGACGATAACGACGGCCGAAGGCCCTGCATGTTGAATTTCAAGAACGGTTTATTTCCCAACTTCACTCCTTCAAGGATGCCCGTCATCGCTTAATTTTAATCTTTTTCGTCCGTTGTTAAACCTCCGTTTTAGATTCGATCATCAAGGCGAAGCCTTGTGTACGTCCATACACACCTCTATTCTTATCTACTACAAATCGCTTTCACGAGTGGATGGTCTATCAGGTTACCTGACTAGTTCAAAGCTAAGCAAGCAAACGTGATACAAACTGTGCTGCCCACAAGCCATGTGCATAGATAATAAGAAATCGGGCAGCTATTGTCGTATTCGAAAGAACGGCGCTTTAGGTAGCTGTCTCGCTTCTATGAGAGCAAGTCTTGATTGCTGCTCACATAAGCCCATATAGGAGGTTAGACAAGTCGAAGAAACCGAACCTCGCAAGTAAAATAAAAAAATTAATCATATAAAAACAGACTAGGTGGAGAGAGAAAGAAAGCGTATCAAGTCTGCAGCAACCACGGTTCTGGTCGGCACCGAAGGCGCTGAAGCGGAAATTTCCTCGCTAGTTTCCTGGAAGAGGTCGGCCTCAGTTGCTGCCGTGCGTTGCCCGTTTCTCGGTTTCGGCCCGCTCAAAATGTTGAGTTCACTACAGGGGCCATTGTCATCGATTTTCGAGCCGATCTACAGCGTTCCCAATGCAGTCATCGAGAACAAAAGGCCACGACGAGTGCAGTTGGCCAGCATCTTTTAATAATACGGTGGACTGAAGTTTAGTTTTTTTTTTCCTGCTTTTGAACAGCGGTTCATTGCTAAATGTTGTAGCCTCGTGGCATGAAGAAAACGTTCAAAACGAAAAATATTCATGCTAACGCATCGGTTTCTAAGTGTTGCTATGCCTGATCTACTACTATTGATGTGCTCGACTAAATAACGCTGACGTTGGGTCATACCAGGCAAACCAAAGAACAAATGCAAGCAGTAAAGAAGCAATGTGTTCTTAAACATGTAATCTCACGAGCGTGTTGTTATTTAAAGCGTATGTTGTGAGAAATTGTTTAAAACACGCCCCAGCAAGGACACCAGCTGTTGTGAATCCGTAGAGAGGGGGAAAAAAGTCATTTTAGAAGACGGCACCTTTGGTGCCTCCCGTACGTAAAAATAAAGTGCTATGGTGCATGAAAAGAGACAATTAAATAGTTGAGCAAAATTCATTCCATTAGTTGTGTACAAAAAGTTGATAATTCACGGTAAGCCCCGTCAACTTACTTTTTGTTGCTACAGACTGGCGCGCATACGCTTAGAAGAACTTATGTGCATCATAACACAGGCGGAAAATGGGTCTTGTTTTACCTAATGTACTACTGTGACATAGCCGGCATATTTCTTCCCAAAGTAGTAATAGCAGCAGTTGTGCTACTACTGCTACTCAACTAAATAATAATAATATAATAATAATAATAATAATAATAATAATAATAATACTAATAATAATAATAATAATAATAATAATACTAATAATAATAATCATAGGAGGAGGAGGAGGATAAGCTTTTACCAGCTCACCATTTGACAAGCTTCAGTGATTGCCTTTGGCATTACCTCGTTAATTTCTGCAACATCAGCATGACCATAAACCGTATTGAATATTGACCTGAAACTGCGTTATCTGTTTGAGCAACAGTGCTTCTGCAACGAGGTGCACTCATTTGTACAGGCGTGGCTCAGGTACTCCGCTGCTGACCCACAGGTCGCGGGATCAAATCCCGGCTGTGGCGGCTGCATTTTCGATGGAAGCGGGAATGCTGTAAGCCCATGTACTCGGATTTGGGCGCACGTTAAATAACGCCTGGTGGCTTCCAGAGTCTTCCACTACGGCGTCTATCATAATCATATGGTGGTTTTGGGACGTTAAACACCACACATCTATCTATCTATCTATCTATCTCTCTATATCTATCTATCTATCTATCTATCATACTATCTATCTATCTATCTATCTATCTATCTATCTATCTATCTATCTATCTATCTATCTATCTATCTATCTATCTATCTATCTATCTATCTATCTATCTATCTATCTATCTATCTATCAATTGTACAGGCGCAGTCTTACGTCTATTTTCATCCCTGAGCTAGTACACAAAATAAGGGTGAAGGCCGATTGTTGCCGCCGAACGGTAGACAACCACTGCCTAAATCAAAAATAGCACCAAAATACCAAGCGCACAGTAGAGTAACAATAGTTTTTCTGCAGGATTTCGCAGAAAGGAAGAGAAAATTGCTGATAGTACGGTGCGGCACAACACCATGACGCAAAAAAAAAAATGGTTTCGCATTCGTAGTCGGTCACACTGGCAGCGCTTTCAACATTTTGTCGCATTTAACGAAAAGTTGCGATCGAACAAAAAATCTTCTATAATAAAAACGAGAGAAAGGGGGAGAGATTACAAGACAAGGGCAGTATGCCTGTCTCTTGGCGTTTATTTATTGACTTATTTTTACGGCGGGCAGCATTTACGACTGTACGGTGAATGAAGAGCGGGAACCCGTGCTTTAATGTTCCGTGGTTCGATAATGTTCGGCTAGATTTCATGGCTATTAGGTGGCGCATAGGAACGGCATACAGCGGGTTCTTTAATCGACTGAGGAATTCTTGTCCACCGCTTTCAAATTCGAAAAAAAGATAGAAACGCATGGATAGATCGATCACCCAAATTTTCGAACTCTAATGGTGAGCTATGTTTTGCAAGTGGATACGGTTGCGCTATTTTGTTCTTTTCTTTCTCTTTATCAGAAAGGTTCAGGTCACAAGACAAATTAACAGAAACAACAGAAATTAATAGTGTCACAGAAATTTTTACCCATAGGACGCGCGTGTGTGACAAGGTCAGGTTGGCTTACGAATAACCTACGCAGCTTCGTGTGCATCCGTAACGACTGCTAGCACTTGGCAGGTAACACAGTCTCATAATACCCAATATACGCTTTCGTTCAGACCACGTTAAATATACTACGTGTAGCATTATGATTTGTCATTAATTCTATTTGGAAACAATGGTAAACTTCGCTCCAAAACCACGACCGCACTGTAATAGGAAAAAACACACAGATAGCACGGGAGCTCTATTGAATCTAGACGGGCAACAACCAGTTCAACAGCCAGTACTACTTAGTATAATTTGGTTAACTTAAAACATTACGTGGACAAAAATACTTTTAATCAGTCATTTTTCCTAATCGAGAGGTTACGCGAAGATATGCTTTAGCATGTAAGAAAAAAGCTAGCGGATTTATTATGCATTAGCCGAACACGACTCACAGACGAAAGACATGCTGTACTTCTATTTCTTAGTCAATTGCATCGATGACCCCTCCCTCATTCTGGAAGCTTTCCGCACCAAACATGGTTTTGCACTGCTTCCTGGATTGACCCGCCTTCAACCAAATGACCGTGCCACGTTCTGACGTCCTAATATGACATCACACAGTATGACGGCATAGTGAAGTCATTGTGACGTCACATAATGGTGTCATCACGGCGACGGCGACTGCGATGGACGTTGATGTTTCTCGCGTGTGGTGAAACATCACGGCTTTCGCCGTAATAAAGTTATACGCGGTTCACCGGCAGTGCCATTTACGAGAGCCAAGGTTTCGGACGCCCATATTCAATCTCCGCATTTCGGTGCCGCATTTCGGTGCCGCATTTCGGTGCCGCATGTGGCGAGCGTACGCTTCGTGCAACCTTCACTGGCGCTGCTCCGATGGCAGTGTCGTAAAAACCCAGCGCGGAGCGTTAATCCACGCTACGCGGGCAACGAGACGCAAAAGAACGCAATGCGGGTCACGAAAGTCAGGAGGACGTCCAAGCAAACGAGGGGCGTGTGTGCTCTGTGTAGCCTATAAAGAACGCAACGAAGGCGGAGGCTAGCGCGGTCACCGAGTCAATCAGTAAATTGGGTAAAAGAAAGGGCATGGATTTGTTCGCGGCATAGGCAGCCAGATGACACAATATAGCTTGCTGTATTCAATGGTGTCAGTTCGAGAAAATAAATTTAAAATGAACCTCTGACACCTTTAGGACACAGTATATCACACCTTTAGGAAGAGAAACTAAACTACGTTATAAGCAGCTTTGGTCAATATCCATTACGCCGATTCATTTTTATGCCTGATCTTCGAGGCTATGTCCCTTTGATGCTGCTACCGAAGTTTCCCTTCTCATCAATACTAATTCGAGATGCTGATACACTAGTTTTGAGAACTTCCCATAGGCTGTTTTACATGATCTAAACTTTCCTCAACTCAAAAATGAGAATAAATTAGAGGCTCTGCTAATTATGGGGAATAATTATGTACATATTTTACTGGAATTGACCATGTAGCTTACGTATCTATTTATTTCTAGTTGCGTCATTCACTTCGAACGAAATGAGAAGCACAAACGTTCACCTCGAAAATGTCATAACGTGGAACAATATACCTCTCACAAAATGTGACTAGTGAAATTCCCGCTTCCGGTTTTTTTTTCCAAGAAGGTGGACCTTCCATCAAGTAAAAGGGATACCTTTCTGTTGTGGTTTTAAGTTTAGGTAAATGTACAACATCAATGTACAACATCATCGCCCTCTGAGCGCCGATTACACACACAAAAAAAAGAGCCTCTCTTACTCCTTTCGGTTAGTTCTGCTTGCCACGTACATGACTCTTTTTAAAGGCAGTCACGTTCACTGACTTTTAGGTGCCACAGCACTCCAACAAGAGTATAATTATCTTAATAGAGCGTTCACTTGTCCCCTTAAAAAGAGCGATTTGACTTGCAAAGTGTCAAATTATTATTTTTTTTTCTGAGACTGTACCCCTTTCCACAGCACATTGGTAGCCAGTTGATATTGAAACTTTCTTGCACTTCCCTTTCCTTCTGCCCCTCCGCTAGTTAACTCAGTTTATTTGATTGGTTCGTATTATGTGACAGTAGGTGCTGTTGCGTTTGCAGGTTTCGGCCTTCTAGAGTCTGGCTGTGTGACACGCAAGAACGAGGTCAACATAATGGTCAAGAACGCGGTGGACGTTGTGTTTGGTGGGCTGGGCTACTGGATGTTCGGCTACGGCTTCAGCTTCGGCCAGGACCGCGGCACGAACCAGTTCATCGCCTTCGGAAAGTTCTTCCTAGACAGCGATGAAAAAGAGATGGGCGTCGTCTTCGCAACATATATCTTCCAGGTACGAAGACATTTGCCAACGCCGTAAGTTCATGGAGAGGGGCTAGCAGTACATCGACATCGAACGTATCTCCCACAGAAAGGAAAGTACGAATGAAGAGAAGAACCAGAGGAAAGGCAGGGATGTTCACTAGTATAGAAACACTGCTATCCTGCTCTGAAGCAAAGGGAAAGAGATATGGGAGCTTAAATGTTAGACACAAAAAGAATATTAGACAATGACTCCAAGGAATGTATTGGGCATGTTATTAGAAGTAGTTGTAATGTAAATGTGAAGAAAGAAAAGCGATTGAAAAAATGACTTGCTGGTGGCAAGTTATTCATATAATTGTCCTTGTTCACATTTACGTTACAATTACTTCTAATAACATGCCCTATACATTCATTGGCGTCTTTGTTTGTTAGTTCTCATTAATAATCTGTCCAACAAAGAGAACAAGCTCTTCACTTTACGGTTCTTTCCTTCAGAAATGGAGAGAGTGACATAAAAAAGGGTAGCGTGCACACACACACACACACACACACACACACACACACACACACACACACACACACACACACACACACACACACACACACACACACATATATATATATATATATATATATATATATATATACAAACGCACAACGCACGCGCACACACACACGTTAGCAATGCACACCCCCGTACGCGATGCATTCTCAGGACGATGTTCTTTAGTAAATTCTGTCTGCCGTCATCATCTTTCCCCAAAGAATGCGTAATATCTGCCACAAAAGAATTTACAAAGCATATGATGTCCCGCGAAGTTTAACTGGTTAACCTTTACCTCACCGGGATTTATCCAGCACAAACGTGTGATGTTTTATACAGACACTGCACGAACCTGTTATATTTCTCGAGAAAGCAGTCACCGTTACAGTACGCGTAAGGTTATGGGAAATGCTTTTTGCAATTCTAATTTTTTTCTAATGCCGCCACGGTGGTACAATAGTTGCGATGCTCGGGTGCTCACCAGAAGGTTCCGGGTTCGAACGCGGCCGCCGTATACTGGTATTTTGATGGAGGTGACAATGCTGCTGCCTACGTACTTTAATGATGAGCCACGTCATAGCGGAAAGCCCGTAAACTTTGGCCACCTGCTATTCTTCTACGTTATATGACATAGCACAGCAGACGAGGCGCCTTCATCCAAATGCGACCACTGCAGCCATATTTGTTTTGTCTGTCAAGTTGTATATTTTACTGAAGCGTACCTGACATTTTCCCGCCTAGTCTTTTTGTCAGCATGCAACTAAAGGAGTTGACTGTTGCGTGAGTTAGTGCTCTGAGATAGAAACTTTTATGAGAGCGAAACTAAACACAACACACAAAGAGAAACAGACGAGTACTGGCGCAATCCTCGTCTATTTCGTGTGTTGATCTTAGTAGCGCTCTCACGATTGTTTTTATATATGGTCTACATATGTGAGACATGAAATTATTGATTCTCACGAACACACCGGCCTAGGTTAGGTTAGTAGTTTTCTTAAATGTCCCTTATACAAGAATGAGTCACACCAACGACTTGCAGCGATCGCGCCAACATTAGCGGCTGCTGAACAAAAACAAAAAAAAAAAGCGACTCAAGGCGAGCGATGTTCACACATATACGAGATACTTATACCCGTCGCCGCTTCAAATTCATGGCTGTTCGCAGTGCCATTGCCCCGTAGAACAAACCAACTCCCTGTTCCTGTGAATCTCGTTGTTCCAAAGGTTTACGAGTGAACTGCCTTAACGAGTGGAATGAAAAAAAAAATCAAGCAACTAATGACTGAACCAGAGCAGTCGCTTTCCGACCAAAGAAGTCCTTTGCAATCAGGTGTGTTGCGACTAACTTGGTCGCGAGACCAGGGCTAGTCGCAGGTCTGAACGAGCCTACATACAGGATTCAGTCAATCACGGCCGCGTCTGTTGCTCGCAGCTTTCGTTCGCGACCACGGCGACGACCATCGTGTCGGGCGCCATGGCGGAGCGGTGCAACTTCGTGGCATACTGCATCTTCTCGTTCCTGAACACGGTGGTGTTCTGCCTTCCGGCCGGCTGGGTCTGGGGCCAGCACGGCTTCCTCAACAAGCTGCGCGTGGTGGACATTGCCGGCTGCGCGCCGGTACACCTCGTAGGCGGTGCCTCCTCCCTGGTGGCCGCCGTCATGCTCAAACCCCGCCACGGTCGCTACGACCACGGCATCGAGCCGCCGCCCATGGGCTCACCCACCAACGCGCTGGTCGGCATGTTCATGTTGTGGTGAGAGTCACTGCGGCCTTTTGTGCATTTTCGCTGGCGGTTATGATCGTGCTAGCGCCGTGAAAGAGCACTATCGTGATTAAGATAAAAAGGTATTGAGGGAGTTTGTGGGACGCCTCCGCCAGCTCGTAAACGGAGTAGTGGGTGTTCCACTTGAACCGAGACAAGGAAAGAAGACAGTCAACCATTTGTAGCCCGAAGCCACAAGGAAATCTGTACGGATATCCCTGTGGCTTTGTTACCCCGCACATGTTCTCGTTTCGATGGCGGAAAAGCTGGTCACTGTAGTGAAAAGAGCCGACAAACCGGAGAAGCACAACATTGTCAGAAAGAGCCGGCCTGTCGTACTATATACCTTATATGAGCGACGTCTCGCACAAGCTATAAAGATTGCTCAGGCCGCTAACGTTTTGGTGGTTTTTTCTGCACCGAAAAATTGCAGAGACTTTGCAAGCGGGTTAGTACACCTCACGCCAACTCTGCCCCTTGCTCTGTTGCGCACAGGTGATGATACGTTCCATACGCAGTGGGAGTCGTCTACTTGATTCCATTGACGTGTGGGAACGTCTATGTAGTCCAAACGGGAAGGTGCATAAATGACCGCCTCCGATATCAGCGAAATAACGGGCACATTGTGGTACACGAGCACCTTGGCATCCATTGCCGGGATTGGGAGTAGACATCTCTCCTCTATCGGTGCTCTATATTGCACGCGTCTTCTGCAATGGAACGCCGTCCTGCACGCGCCACGATGCTATACGCCACGGGACCGGCACGAGAGTCGAGGTGTGAAGAAGAGACCAACGAAGGTTGAATGCAGCGAGCAAGGAACGTTTTGGCTGACCATTTAGTTTTGAGTTTACGGGCACAGGTTCACCCAAAATAAATAGTTTGTATAGTACCAGGTACTATATTTATTGGTAACAATATTGACAAGGCATAAGAATCAGCCAACCCACGAAATTAATGAAGCTACAAAAATACACTTGCGATAGGAAAACTGTGTAAGCACCTCATCTGTTGGTTTATCACAGTTAGAACCTGATTACCTGGCTGGGCTTTGAGGCCATAGAGCACCTGTTACATGGTTTTTGATACTGACGCATTGATTAGGCTTGTCTTTTATCTTCCTGTTCTGTATCGTACTTTTCGACGCATACATATTTCGCCACTCTGCGAAATAAAGTCAGTTGGAAGTCGGTGCTCTTAATATCTACCCTGTTCCTTTTTTCCTATGTTCGCGTGCTGAAAGAACTTGCAAATATGGTTAACTTTACTTCACAGCCTGGCGAGCTTGTTAGTTGTGGTTAAAGCAAAGTGTGCTTTATGGTCCTGGTGTTTTGCGTTGTTTCCCTAAAATATGCTTAACCAACTGGCCGACAAGTTGACCCTTCTTACGTCCATTAATTCACCAAGAATACCTTCAATGAGACCGTAGTGAGAAACAGCTCGAACTACGGACAACGAGGACACGGCCATTTGCCTTTTCTCGCTATTCTTTACAATGGATACGAATATTACCAACTGCCTCATATTCGAACACTATTGAAACGAGAGTTGGTATTTTGCTGTTTTTTTTTAATTTTTGGTCAGCCATTTTTCTGTCACCATGCTCCCGTCAAGCTAAGTGACGCCATCTACCAGTATACGTCGACGTAAATAAAAGAGAAAAGACAAAAATATGGCATAGACGTGCCTTCATTCTAATTCGGGGAAAGAAAGTATAACCCTCGCTCACTTTAATGCAAACACAGCATGGCTTTGCGTGCACGAGGAGACAAAAAGAGCGGTATCGGCGACTTTTAAATTTATCTCCGGTACACAGATCTATCGTGACATGAGGAGATCAGATATGTATCTATCTCTCTTTCTTTAGTTTCAGGGAACGTCCGTATATGTTCTCATATTTTCTTTCACAACAGGTGGGGTTGGCTAGGCTTCAACTGCGGAAGTACCTTCGGCGTTTCCGGTCACAAATGGAAGTACGCCGCAAGGTAGGAGACTGTTACCTTTAAGTTTGTTTTATTCGGACGTTCTTCCGAATGAATGCATCCTACACCACAGATATATGACGGAAGTCATGTATAGTTAGATCAATAAGCCATAAGAATTTTTTTTTTTTGCCTTGAAGTGGACACCCCCCCCCCCCCTTTCCCCCCGCATTGCAGCTCAAACAGCTGTTACAGGTTTTGGTGCTAGCCTGGTTGTGTAGTGTACGTTGCGTTGTGTACACCATATGGTGCAGGAGGAACTATAGGGCTAGTGTTGGACCGCTACTGCATTATGTAGACATCAGCTGAAGCGGAGCCTTCACGATATTTGTTTTATCCTTGGAGACAGTGTAAGGAACAACGGTCCTCAGAACAGGGCTCTGCGTGTTTGCTATTCTGTCAGGAAGACGAGCGCAAAGGCATGAGCCAACTATCTTGTGTTTTAGACGTTAGCAACGTTCAAATTCATGAGCCGTAGAGATTAAATTGTTTAGTTCACTTATTTCAGGTGCAATGTTTACGAATGACGTGGGCCTACTGCTTCCTGTGCGAATAAAACTTCTATGCATTCACAATGTCCAATACAGAGAGCACATTTGCTTTTGAGCACGTATAATTTGGGAGCACAGACAAAAACTTTGAACAGATACAAATATTTCCTTGTAGAACACATTTGCCGTAAAAGATGATTGATCTCTTTTGTCGAAAGTTTTAAAAGTTTAGAAGGAATACGCGTATTTGTAGTTTTTTCTCTGTCTGTAGGGTGGTCAATCTAAAGTCTTTCTAGTTAACCTGCCTGCCTTCACTATTTCTGTTTGTTTGTTTGTTATCTGTGAACACTGGCATATACCCGCTCTGGGGGATTGACCAAAAAAGCTTGTAGTAGCCTATATGTGAACATTATAGAATGGCTGTCAGCATATTACTAGTAAACAAAAAAACAAATAGCAAACTATTGTTCAAAATGAAATGTTTTTTTTTTTTCTTGCTTCTTCTCTGTCTTTATTCTGTGCGTATTCGCGTGTTTATGTGCCAATATATATTACCCGCTGACGGTGGATTAATGGCATTACATGACTACAGGATGCCGCATACAGCAGAGAAATCTCGTGCGTATGGGCACTCCAGTCTGAGTATTATAAAGCTTCCACCTTGTTTTTCAGCAAGAAGGCTAGGGCTCAAGATTTATCGACTTTCTTCTCTGTGGCGTTAAAAATTCTGTTTGTTGTTGTTGTTGATGACGATGATGATGATGACAGCCTTTATGTATAGCTCACACCCACTCTGAAAGATTGGTCAAGAAACGAATGTATTGTTTCAGCTTCATCATCTTCGCGTCGAATTTAGCCCCAATGTTGTAATACACGGAAACCAAGGAAATACATTTAACAAAACTCGGACTTCTCAAAAAAACGAAGACAACACTGCAATACTGTAATCACAGTTCACCAAAACTTTCCTTGTACTTAACAATAATGCATCACAGCACCTTATATTCTACATTTTCTTCTTCCTTCCGAAGCGCCACGCGGCGCGCACGGCCTGACCTCGCACCCTCCACGCGCCACGACGCGAGCCTATCGAAGGCTTTCTTCTTAGGACTCGCGCAGCTCGGCCGTGACACGCGTCGAATCCGAACAGCGAGTGAGGCCCACCAGTCTCTGATTGCAAGCGGTACAGCTATCGAACAACCCGAGACACCGCCATGACAGAGCCGCCGGAAGCCATCGGCCAGGTGGAAGCCCAGATGAACAAGGACATTGGAGACTTGGCCGCGTCACCCATCAAGGACGAGCAAGGTGACTCGAAGGACACCGCATCGTCCGATGGGGGCCACATCAAGGGCCATGCCCACGGCAAGGCGGTCAAGCCGGAGGATCTCGCGACCGGGGAAATGAAGCAAGGCGAGGTCGACGGAAAAGCAGCGGAGAAGCAGCCTTCGGCACCAGGAGGGGGAGCCGACCAGGTGAAACGCCAGCTGATTGAGATCGTCGACGCTGAGCAGACGGTCAACGAGGGCTCGAGTGACGAAGATGACCTCGACGACGAGGAGGACGAGTCGTCCGACTACACTGACGAGTCTGAAACGGAGGGCAGCGAGGACGTGGAAGACAGCGAGGAGGAGGACTGACGGCATGACTCCTCCATCCCGGGTCTGCGATGCCTCCGCGATGAACATCCTCTCAGCTCGGACCGCAACCAAACAGCACTCCCCCGGGACCTCGAGAGAGAGAGAGAATAAAGATTCCTCAAGTTTGTGTTCTTTCGTGGTCCGTCTATTTTACTTGTTCATTGGCGTGCTGTCATCTACTGTACGCACGCCGAACAGACAAGGAATTTGCGCGACGTCGTTTGTGGTCGACGCCAACGCCATAAATTAGCAAGGTAAGATGAGGCCCGAGAGTTGATACTCCAGCGCATAGGGGTATTACCGTAGGTCTGTTGATGTGAAGTCTGCAAAGATGACGTGCAGGTCTCCATTGCAGTACGTGACAAAGGTGTAAATGTTGCAGTCGGGCCAACTCGTGATGTCTCGAAAGATATCCCCATGTACGCGTCGAGTCCTTTCAGCTGTGAATGGACATTTCATTGTCGAAACGTCCAATTACGTGCACAAGCGTTAGCTTCGCTTTGCTAACGCTCACACTTTTCGCACATTCAACCTATCTTTGGCGGTTGAGGAAAAAATTTAGTCGCGGCCCGCAGTTACTTGGACGATAAAGTTGCTCTTATACTTCCTTGGTATGATTTGTACTAGCAGCTGGCGTATGATCTCCATGGAGGAAATATCGCCTTCGTGAAGACTGATATAGGCTCAGACTTCTCTCGTGAAGGCGAGCACAATTACTGGCTGTAGCTTCGGTGTTAAGAAAGAGGAAGACATAACTTAATTAACCCTTGCTGGGGCTAAGGTAAGCGGGAGCCAGGAGACTAGTCCTGCTGGAGCCTCCCATCCTCAGGCGACGGGTAGACGTTGAGCTTTGGCGGTGTCTTTGGCTAGTGTAACCGTCCCTAGCTGGTCATCCGGGTACCGCGCTGAGCAGCATCGCCACCCCTTCATTTATACAAGTCTGCGTGGCCTCATCTTGCGTATGGTGTCCTCCGGTAAGGGCTCACTGGCTCCCGCTACTCATCGGGTGCCGCCTAAAAACGCCAACTCGCTTTCCGACTCCAGTCGGGCCTTCAGAGACCACGCTGCGAATGTTTGTTTCATGACTCCTGGCGATGCACTCACTATAGGTTAGCGTGCAGAGAACATCTGATGTGCTGGCTTTAATATTACTTCCCGCACTTCAGTCACCGCAACAATAGCGGTACGATCTCTCACTAGTTCTTGCTGCTGTTCTGCTCGTAAGAGTCGGTATAGTGAAATATGGTAAGTTCTCGCTCGCTACACAGTGTCGGCTAGTGGTGCAGAAGATGAGGCCACGCTGACTTGTAACTCTGTTGCTTTTGTTTCCTTGCGCAGGTCGGCCATAGTGACAATAAATTCCTCGGTAGGTGGCGGGATCACCGCGCTAGTTTTCAGGTATGAACTTTCTGCTTGGTCAAAAGCATGTCCGTGTTTTTTTTTTCAAGTGGTTTTACTTATCTAAGCTTCTCTAGAACTACCATTTATTGTCGGGCGCTGTTCTTTTTTATTTAATTCTTCCTTGAAGTTCGACCGTTGCCCCACTATCGGCAGGTGCATTAACATGAAAGTCAATATCTTTACATACTTGCAAACAGAAGTATACAGAAGAAGAAAAAGACAAGAAATTGTATCTAGAAGAAAGGTTTTCTTTAAAACTATTTGGTTCTCTGCCCACACATCCGGCGTGAGCGTGTTCACAAGTTCAAGGAACTGCTCCATTCTGCAAAAATAAGCGATCTCAGGGGCAGTCAAAATCTTCTGACACAGGTCAAGTAAGCCACTACCCGACACTACAGGAGAAATGCTCCAAAGTCGAAGAGTGATGTTATTGTGCTCTTGCAAATAATGTTTCTCGCGCTTACAAAACTTTTAGCAAGATTTATCTGCTTGCTTAATATGAAACTAATATACCTTTTAGCATTGTTTTTTTTACTATCTAAAAGCATGCATCTGTATTAGTTTCGCCACGACGGTTCCAAAGCAACCTAACAACAAATAGGAAGGTCATATTGTTGAGACATTTATGACGGAGCAATAAGTGCGATAACTGAGAAAATATTTGCCGCATCTGCATTATGGTTGAAAGTTTTGACTTTCGGCGAGCTTATTGCGGATTAATTTGGCTTTTACGGAATATACTTTTGTACGAGCTGCATTCGTTAGTTTTAATATGTGCCAGGAAAACAAAATTAGCGCAGCTCGCATCAAGTCGCAAGGCTGGGCTGACGGGCACGCATATGGTCCTGGCTTGGCTAAGCTTTTCTCTCATTTTCGCAAAGTCTATTATTATTATTATTATTATTATTATTATTATTATTATTATTATTATTATTATTATTATTATTATTATTATTATTATTATTATTATTATTATTATTATTATTGCACACACAAGGACACACATGACAGAGGTAGATGAAAGGCTGGAACTGCCACCAATGTGGGCACAATGCCTGCCTACTCTTTTGGAAGGGAAAAAAAATATAGGAAAAGATACGAAGTGAAAAAGAGAAGAGAAAACAGGAGAGTTAAAAAAATTACGAGCACTTTCACAAAAATAAGTCAAAACATGGAAGCAAGAACGTCTGTGAAGTGCGTGTTGCCGGTTCAATTGCTACATGCACCCACACATGGCCGCCGGAAGGGTTCATGTGATCTATCTGGTAAACTAAGTTTGGTTACCAGCTTATCGAAAGCTATTGGGTATTGATAAGGCGTCACGTAGCAACACCGAATCAACATGGCTTCAGTTTTCTAAGTAGGTGAATTATCAAGTTTAAGGTTAGATGAGCATAATAATTACCTAGCTCATTCCACTTATGTATAACTCAAGTTAGCCTAGGTTTATATAGCGAATGAGCACATTATCACTATTTAAAAATTTTTTTGCGTTGATTAGGTCTAATAATGTTGGTTATATTGCACTTGCTGAGCTCAACCTTACTAGCAACACTAAGCATTCGACTCAGAATAATTAGGCCTAATGAGGGTTTTGACATAATCAGCTTATTTATGTGTGCTTACATAGGTACTGTTCTAGGTCTGGCTATAATTATCTTTGCTTAACGAAGCTCATATAATCTTAACTTCATTTGACCTGGAAAGAGCAAGCAGAACATGATGATAGTTTGTTTTCTACGCCACGCGGACTAACCTCGAGTATAGTAGCTCTGCTGTAAAAATGTGGGCTCAGCATTTCTAAGACTCAGTCTGAAATTAATTCATAACATAATAAAATTTAGTGTTGCAGAAACGTTGGCACAAGCATTATTGCCTTGCAATATCGAAAATAGCTTATACACGCAATAAGTTGTTAAACCATCCGAGGAGCAATATGTTAAGTTTGGCTATGTAGTATGCGTCCCCTATACTTAAAGTGCATAAAGAAGTTACGCAGCGACAATTGCGTTCATCGGCAGTAATATTTTGGTGCGGTATATGACGTTGCAAAAACAACCACAATTTTTCGTTGTTCTTAGGAGGTCGCCGCTATCGAGTGCCGAATTCAGAAAATGGCTCTCAAATGCTGCTCTTGTCATTGAGTAGTCGACTTTGCTAATGGCACACCAGGCTGCAGTATTGTCTAAAAAAAATCGTGAAGTGTTCTCGTACGAAAATTTTTAGTGTAAGATGTTTTTGTGAATACTGCATGGCCCACAGCTTTAACTGAATATGCTTCTAAGCATTTTTATTTTGAACATCCAGTTATGTGGTGAACAGCCGCAAGTTCTCTGTGATCAAGCTCATTAATGGGATCCTCGCTTCCCTCGTAGCCATCACGGGTAAGCATTGAATGTGATTTATTCCTGTTTTGAGCACTCAGTGTATTGCATTCATCCGAGACGAGATGATGCGTACATGCAATCATTAAAACAATCAGCTCACTAGGTAACTATCACTAAGATGTCCATTCACTACGGTTTTCTCGTTTCAGTTTTCAAAGACGTGTATCAAGTAGTACCAGCCAGTACATCCTTTGTGATAATATGGCATGATTAACACACCATGAACACTTAAGCACTCACTTTATCACAAGTGTGCGGCAAAGTACGTACAATATAAGCTTGGAACTTGAGATGTCTCGCTGCGCGAATCGTCCGAACCATTCAAACATCCGAGGAGGCACAAGTCGGAGAAACCGGCTAGATGGCAAGTTGACCGTTGCGGCGTTCCTTGCATCATTACATTCACGTTTTCCTCATGATTATCAATGTCATTGCCTTTGTTCCCTCCATCAGCGACTAGCTTTTAAAAAACATTTTGAAGCGACTAGTAACACAAAGGTGTCATTTCCTGCACCTTAAGACCCCCTGGTCTCGCACACGTCAATGGTCACTTTGGACAAGAGCTTCCCAGTTTTCGTGCGGTGGGCTTACCATATCTGCGGTATGCCTTCGGAGCTTGTTCGTGTGTTTGTCTAGTGGCGGTAAACATTTCGAGCCAAAGCTATCAATCAACCTATCTGAAGCGGTGGAGGAACAAATTTAGTCGCGGCCCGCAATTACTTGGAATATAAAGTTGCTCTTATACTTTGCAGCATAAAATACAATCGAGCCCGATAGGGATAGAGCTTCTCGGCCAGGATTGACTGATTGATTTGTACACGCTGCTGATAGCAATCCAGTCGTGGTCTCGTGATATTCGGTCCATTTGGATCGGGCTAGATCTCGTTCGAAAGTGCACCGGGCAGCGCCAATAAAGGATCAATCACAGCTGGCTGTGCCCTGTACCACCCGTGGGAGGCCGTGGTGGTGGGATCGGTGGGCTCCCTGCTGGCCAACGTGGGCATGCCGCTGCTCGACTGGCTCCGCGTGGACGATCCCGTGGGCGCCATCGCCGTGCACTGGTCTGAGTTCCGTGTGGGGCATGTTAGCCGTCGGCCTGTTCGTCGAGAGGGACTCGCTGTTGCGCCTGAGCCGTGGAGGCGCCGGAGTGTTCCGAGGCGGCGGCTTCTACTTGCTCGGGGTCCAGGCAGGTCGCCGTGCTCGCCATCAGCGCCTGGAGCTGCGCGTCCACATACGCCATACTCTGGGTGAGCCAATCGCAAGAATCGAATTTGCAACTGGAATTCCATCCCCTTCAGCGGCAATGGATGAATTTGTGTACACAACTTGTTCTTACTATAGTAGCGCCGACTTGTGACCAAAAGAACGCAACCTGCGTTTCTCATGGGATCATTTGAACATTCTGCATATCCAACATGTTGCGACTTAATCTCCGTGTGTCGCGTATGACTGTAACCAATCGCTTTGTTGAAGACACTGCGATCTTCGACTGCTCTGTGGACGTGCCGCGTTCCCGGACCAAAGTCTTAACTATTATTTTTTTTCTTTTCTTGAAATAAATACAATCAAAGACGCCTACGCAATTCGAGCTTACGATTTCATTACTTTTAGGTGAAAATGAAACACGAATTACGGCATAAAAATTGAATATTTATTTACATGCTAATTACGATTAATTATTGAAACTAACACAAAGTTATGCACCCTGCTTATCTTGTTTTGGAATGTGATTTTAGGTACAGTGAAATTGTCCGATACGCGAATATGACACATTTGCAGACAGCGCATCATAGCTGGCACCTTAAGGAATTATTGGCCGAAATAATACTAAGGTCAATAAATACAAGAAAAGCATCTGGGTCTTTAGCACAGTGCAAGAATACTTTAGGTGAAAGAAAACACCGCGAAGCGAGCGCTTGGCAGGGAGGGGCCGATTATGTTCTCGTTTACAGCATGCCGATAGATGGCTCGCTGACTGAGGACCATGGCGGGCTGCTGGCAAATTCCGCAAGGCACATTCGGCACGTGGGCGACGGTTCCCAAATCTGAGAAAACCAGGTTATCGCGCGATAACAACCGCGCCACACGCATAGAGTGACGCCGCGAAAGAGGGGGTGATAAGGGAGAAGGTTGACAGTGTGGTGAGGATGTTGTGGCGACGATAAATGAGCGCCGCTACTTTCCTGCGTACGGGAACGGGGCAAAGTTTGTAGCGCCATCTCTCGGGCTCCTTGCGAAGCAGAACATTATCGGCACCGGATAGTTCCGGCGTTCGCTCACCTAAAGTATTCTTGTACCGTGGTCTTTAGTATCAAGCTAGTTTGGATTTATGCACAAACCTTTACAAAAATGCAAATATACTGAATAGAAATTTTAATTGTTTTTATGCAGGGGTTAGGGGGCTGACATGTTATTTGAATCACACTTGAACATTATTTGAGATGTTTGTCATTGTGGTTCACATGCATAGGGAAATATTTACCAAGTTATATTTTCGCAGGAAGATTGTGACTGTAAGAGGCTGCAAGAAGTTGCCAGCTTCGTAGGGTCGTGTTTGAACCGGAGAGGACACAAATAATTATCCGTGAAATGGAATATTGTTAATTATGCAATGAATAGTTATGCAGTTATAGTTTTATAGTTTATGAACAACTTAAGAGGCATGATTTGGGGAATTTTTTAATAGTGAACACGCACTATATATTTCTCTTTTTTACCATGTCTCTTGCATTATTACAGCTTAGAGGACTAAAATGAAAAGTCAGTTTAGGTTCAATAATTATTCCTTTAGATCTAAGGAAAATTTTGTTAATTTCGCATTAATAGGAATATTTATGAAGGTCATGTGGTCAAAATGCTTTTTTTTCGTTATTAATTTCAAACCATAACCACTGCACCGGTATGTTGTCGCAAGTTTTTAAGTTTGTTCTTTATATTTTTTGTATGCGTGTTTGAAAATTTACAAGGATGGTGGCTTAGGCTAGTTGGTAGTTCATTATGATTGTTATAGCGCGAATTCAAGACAAGGACAAAATGTGTGCGAATCATATCACTCGCCTTCGTATGCACTTTGCCCTTGTCTTGAGTTCGCACTATAAGAATTATCATATTTGCAAAGGTGCGGCCCGGTGAAAGTTTGTAAGACTTGCTTAAGCCTCTGGCTTTCTCGGGCGCTGTGTTGCTCTCGTTTACAAGAAAATAATGGTATAAGCCGTATCAAGCAGACTCATAGTATGAGTGGATTTTTTTGTATTATGTAAGAGTATTAGTCATTCGCACCGTGTCATTATTTCTTTAGTTACTGTTACTACTTTATTAAAGATATATACACCAACACTACCACCACCACTTTTTCGGTGCATGTCTGAATGAACCTTCCTCTGCCTACCTTCTCCATCCCACTCATCTGGCCACAGGGCCGTTCAGGTGCCTTTGCAGATGGTGGACAGTTGAGATACCAACGTCATCTTAATTCCTTAGCCAATCACTAGTGCGATACCACCACCGCTGTCACCGCCGCCACTGCATGCTGCTGATGAATCAGAGTCTTCTAATTCTCTTGGCTTACAATGAATGAATGAATTAGTTATTTTCTCGACCGGATAAAGCTAATGATACGAAAAGCCTTACGTGAAAAGCCGCACGCAAGTTACATCGCTTGACGAAGCCACACGCCCCCTCATTTTCTATCACAGGAGCCCACCAGCGCAGCACAAATCAGCAATACGTATTACAATTATATTTCAGCAGTACATAAAATACAGTCGGACGTTAAAAAAAAAATGCCGACATCTTCAGGCGCGCACAGAAACGACAAGACGTGCAGCGCTGTTCAGATATAGAATTTTTATCGATGCAGGACACGAAACAAGCACAAGCGAGAGCAAAAAGTCAAAGTGAATTACAAAGATAATACAGGGAAAGCACCTGAGAAAAAAAAAAACATTTCCCGTGGCATGCAGCATAAACAGCATATTTCGGAGCAGCAAAAGTAAAGGTACAATGCTTTCGATATAAAGTGTGTGCTTTAGCTTGGCACCCCTCGAATAAATTCATTTGAACAGTCACTGCACAGTTTAGTTTTCTTTTCCTTTTTGTTTTTGCGGTGCAATGGCATCTGCACTCTGCAAGCTAGATTGTTATGTAGTGTTCCCTCCTTTACAAATACTCTTTGCCTTACACTCGCAGTGTATCAACCGCATCGTGCCCATTCGAATGTCTCCAGAGGAAGAGCAAATCGGTGCGGATTTCGTCGAACACGGCATCCAGTACCTCCTGAAACCAGAACAGCCGAAGCCAGGGGCAGCTCCGATAGCGACTATCAGCAACGGAAAATTCAATGGCAGTGAACGGCGTCCCGCAGCCGCTCCGTCGGAGCATCCGGCCGACGCTGCAGCCCGTAGACAACAGCATCTACCTCAGCTCAGCCTCCAGGACCGACAAAGAACTTCCAGTTCCACGCAAACAGAGGACACGCCTAATGGACGACCTGTGTTACCACGGTCCATGGAAACTGGACGTCAAACGTGGAGAAGGCCTGTTCCAAGACCGGCTTGGTCGGAAACGGACTCTACGTGACCGCCTGTTCCCGGAACATAGGGCTCGGATTGGTGACGTTTCGAAATGCATGTGAGGTGGTAGCTTTGGACCTGAAAAGCTGCGGAACCTTAAGTGAGTGCCTGGTGTGGGCCATCAAGATCCAGAAAAAGAGACGGAAAATACAGCGCTGTGCGATCGTGGTCCTTCTTAGTTTTGTGTATGGGTGCGCTGCCGTTAAACTGTGAAGAGCAACAACAGCAAAGACACTCACAATTATGTCCTTACGTTGTCTTGCATAGCCATTTCTTCAGACAGGTGCTATGAAGCAGCCTTTCACATGTTAAGTGCCCATCTCGAATAGCGTGCGGCTTGGCTAGGCAAGTGTACACGTATTTTACGAGTGTGTCACGGCGCAGCATAGATTACAATCGAGCCCGATCAGGATCGAGCTTCTCGACCGGGATGGGCTGATTAGTACACGCTGCTGATAGCAGCCAGTCGCGATCTCGAGAAAGTCAATCCATTTGGATCGGGCTAGATCTCATTGGAAGGTGCATCGGGTAGCACCAATATAAGGCTTCGTAACTTTGTAGCAAAGTGAAGTTTCGATTGTTCTGTATGAACCTTTATGGACAAGAAAAGTGACTGGTGCATGCCGCTAGCTAGAAAGTGCTGCTGCCAGCGTTCTCGCTTGCATCTAGCGTTGCAACTGAATCGGAGCATCCAATTGCTAGAGCGTTTTACACATCGTTCTAGTATTGACGTGACTCAGAATGATTTCGTGTTATTGCTGCAGCAGTCAAAGATACCTGACTCTAGGCGACGACCAAATAACGTTAATAAAGAACCAACCACCCAAAAACAAGCTGCGTTTCTGTATTAATTCATTCTTTTACGACTGTTTTGCTCACATTGAGCAACCATCCAAACTGTGGCTAAACAAGATATTTATAACAAATCCTGCATGTGCAGAGGTGATGAAGCAAATTTTACTCTGATATTATCAGGTCTTTCCGAACAAACGTCAGTTTTGTACGTTTTTTCGTCGTCTTGGAGGGCAGGCCAGTTTGCCCGCAGTCGCATGTTTTGTTAATCAGGTGCGTATAACCTACCAAAACATAGAGCGCAACATAATCTTAGTAATCTTATGCGTACATAAATTGTATTAGCGGACAGAAACACGTACCTTCCCATTCAAGTTGAATTTCTCATCAATGTAAAGTTCAAAGAGCGCGCCAAAATTCGAAAACGAAACTAACAACTTATTTGTTTAACAAAACGCAGAGATTTGATGCAATTTTTCTAAAAAAATTGCTGAAAGCTGGCTAGACAATGTTTTATAGCATTTTACATAAACCTGGTGGTGGATATGTTTTGAGCATTTGATTACATTTTATCAGCTGAACAGCTGTACGAACTGCTTGGGGGGAATGTGATCGGCGGGTGCACACAAATTTAAATGTATTGTTGCGTGTTGAAGCATAGATGGTTATATCAATATAAATTGTACTGTCTCGTAATGCGTGACTGTCATGCTGAAACCATCAATTTGCGCTCGTTTTGGAAGGATCTCGTGCAGGCTAGCCGATCGAGTCGCCCGCGCTGCTTAGCAACAGCGATTTTTTCTATTCCCTTACCTACATCCTGCTGTTCGAGCATATGCGACGGAAGAACTCCAACGAGTTTCTCAAATGGCACGTCCAGAGATCTACGTCGTTTCGAGGATCCCGAACCTCGCCGAACATCTCCGACAAGCGGTCAAAGGTCGAGCTGATGTTGTTGAGATAGTCGCAAAATGTAGGTATTTGCATGTGCGCCGACGTGTGCCGTGCTCCGCTTTTCATCGTAGTCATAACCACTTTCGCAGCTCCACGTCATTAGACATCTTGCATTGTCGTGGAGCCTAAGTGATTGTCGCTGCCTGAAGTGTCGTGTGTTGCCCAATTGTCATTCAACTCGCACGATTGGATCAGCTGCGAATAAAGCGCTGTTGCTCGCTATTTTTGAAGCTCAGATCTCTGTCGTATTCAGAAGATTCACCCGAAACTTGCCGCGTGACAAAAGTCAGATGCACATCGAGCTCACTTACGTGTTTAATTTATTTAAACACGCTTTTGTTTTTACTGTGACAGTTTCTCACACTTCGCGTATTTCGCACGTTTTGGTAGCGTTGAATTTGAATTTGCGGCAAGTCTATTTTGGTAAACTCGCAAAGTGTTTTTAAGATCGTCAGATTTTGTAGTCCCCTCATTTCTGTTACATTACAGTCACTGTTCACGATCATTGTCCCAAGATTAAACCCGAGGTTGTCAAAAAACTCCAGAGTGTCGAGATCCTGATCACGGACACCCACATATTAAAGGACATACTCTACCAGCTGCCAAATATGAAGCTTGTGCAAGTTACATCTGCAGGCAAGTACAAGCGCTTCAATTTGCATTTTGTATGCTGGGTGTCACGATGTTGTGGCTTTGGTGTGTTTCTTTTAGGTCAATGTAAGCTTGACAGCTAAAGGTTGTAATCTTGATAAACAACTGTATCGGGCCAGTTGGTATGAATTCATCTTGGTAGGAAGCGCAGCAACTGTTACACAAATCACAACTAAGTGCTTGTGTTGTGTGTTCTGTATAATAGTTGCTGCACTTCCTACAAAGGTTGTAATCTTGAATATGTTCTATTGATATGCCCTAAATGCTGTGTACTTCGAATTTTGGAACCATCAGCTATATAAGCTGTGAACTGAATAATAAACCACTTCATTTGGTCATTTATGAATGGAACAACTAAAGCATTTTTCGTTTTGTGTAGCCCTTGGCTGCATTCCTAGGGGTACGATAGATAACATCGAAACTGCATTAAATTTAGGATTTTTGCTGAATAAAAGTTAAATAGGTTGGTACCAAACAATTGTGAATTAGGGAATTATTAATAGGTTGTTAATTGCTGAATAATATATACGAAATGAATGAGGTGGTTGTGCAGAGCCACTGTACGATGAAACTAAACAAAATAGTTCCACAAGGACGTTGACCTGTGACATGTAACAAAACAAAGAAGTGAACTTTGGGGTTCTCAGATGCTTTCTCCTTTGCTGTCATGACTTGTCTATGTTGTGCCATTTTTTCTCGAGCTTGGGTTTTTTGGTCGTGATATATTAACGGAGCCAACAACATGCCAAATACATAGGTAATCCATTCTAGTTTCTTAAATGGCCCTGTCTTTTTTTTTTGTATGACAATGTGAAGGCAATGTGTAATGTGATTTTTGTTTCTAAGACTGCGCAGCAGTGTGTGAATGCTAGATATGATGCCTTTCTACTGTAATTTAAAGATCGACTCTTTTTCCACTATCAAAAAAATATGCTGAAAAACTTAAATAAGTATTCTACGTTGCTGTTTGCGATCACTGATGTTTTGTTATGTTTTTTATTTTGCAGGTGTTGAAAATCTTCTTCCAAATATCAATAAATCTCTGGTAAGTTGCAGCACTGTCAAATGGACTCAATTATAGTTTGCAATAGCCCTTTATTTTCTTGCCACTATGTCAGTAATGCTTTAACAGTTCCGTTGACTAAGCAGTTCGATGAAGCATCAGTTCATGTTTTACCGATTCATGGCTAAACTAGAGCCTTCTCACACTTTCAAGAATACTAGTTGCTAGTTTGTGTTTTGGTGCTCCCTGCAATTGTTCTTAAAAAATGAAAGGTATTCAAACATTCTATCATGATAGAGTAGTTATGTATTTGTTATCCGTTACATATTTGGTTAGACAGTTCACCAGTCTTTTGAAGAGTTGTAGACTGATGTAAAAGAAAACTTCATCGAATTGTATCTTGCTACAATAGAGCCACATTCAAAGTATGGAGGTACAAGTTTTAGATGAACATGTAGGACAAAACACATTTACTGAATGATTTCGTGTAGCTGATACACAATGCCTTGCTTCTGGCAACATGAGTATCAGTTGTCCTAATACACACATAGTGGTTTATTATTCAGGCATTCTCACCATGTTTACATTCTGTTAAGGTAAGCATTCACTGTAATTAGTACTTTAGAGTCACCTATATTTTTAACTAGCATACACGAGCGACTCTTTTTTCTATAAATGTTCACCATATGACTGAATTAGGTTCCAGAAAGGGTGAGGGAAAATGCATGCCCACAATGTGCACAACCACAAAACAATTTTTTGCATGACGATAGTTATAGCGCGAGACCAAAACGACGACACAGAGACAAGAAGGACACGAAAGACACTTTTTGCCTCTGTGTCGTCGTTTTGGTCTCGCGCTATAACTATCGTCATGCCATACCAACTAGCCCAAGCTGCCACACTTCTAAATTTTTTGCAACTTTGTTTCGTCATATATGGTGCTGACACAGAAAAGTTACTGCTACTCACACTAGTTAAAGAATTGGGTAGTTGTACTTATCACTTTGAGAAACACTCGTACATGTATGATGCGACACACTGTTCTCAATTCGCTTTTCGGTTCTTTGTTTCATCATTTTCATTCGAAAGCGAAGCACTCCAGGTAACTATGTGCCCTCGCCCAACAATATTTCATTGGGTTAATTTAAAGGGCCCTCACCAAGTCCCATTCAAGGCTTTGGTTAATGTGGTGAACTGCTGCTCAAAGAGGGTTCTACTATAACAATTTTTCAAAAAGTTCATTATTCATCCCTTTACCATAAAGTAAACTCTCAGTAGATGGAAATATTTTAAAATGAAACTGCTGTTTGAATGGAACAAATGCTTTTATAATGTTTGGTCTTGTACTCAGTGTGCAACTCTGTTGATCTCTCAGTAAACGAATCTCTCTAAAGGGAACATATTTTCTTCGTACCTTCAAGTTCCATTTAACAACAGTCTACTGTAAATCGGAGTGTCGGTTACACTAGCCTGCGCAAATGCTCATCCTCCTTTCCTTTTAGTAAGCATCACAAACTTTCAACTGTTAGAGGCAAGGAGGGAGACCTTTTATACAGGCATAACAAGCCTAGTCTTGCTTTGCTTCTCAGCACACTTGCACTTCTGGCATTGCACGTTTCTCATTGGATGAATAACTGAACGTTTGTGCCATGGTCAGTTATAATTTCAAGACTGGTCTGGAACACACATGTACGACTCGACGGACTGGCCGTGGACATTCTAAGGAATGTGCTTAATGTAGATATGTGTATGTTAGCTTTGACACACTCTCGGAATGTAGCTTCCAACAGATGCTTCATAATATGCAGACACAATCACTACCCAATGATCTAGACACTGGACTTGTTTGTTTGCTTCACACAAAATTTGGTGAGGGGCCTTTTAACCTCCACAGACCTAACGAAATTTGAGTGGCAAACATTTTAAAATCATGTCATGCTGTCAAACAGTCTGTTACGCTTCTGGAAAACCTGATTTGTCACGGATTGCGTGGGTACATGCTCGTATCATCAGCTGCACGTATGTGGATACCAGAGTTCATTTCTCCTGTTTGTTCAGATAACAGCATTACTTGTTTGCCTAAATGCATGGGTAAAGTTTTGATATCAAATAAAGTAAGTTTCTTACGGTATCTGTTGGCATGAAATAAACAGGAGAGATGGACAAGCGCAAAAGTTTCTTGCTGTCGCTTTTCAGGACACATCACTCGGTTACATTTAAAAACTGCATAACTGCTTTCTCTTGTTCTCAGCATTGATACAGCAGTGTTCTTGGTGATACTGCAAGCCAGTGATAACAAAATTATAATGAGTTTCACATTGATGTTACATGATATTAACATTACTTGAACTCTATCTGCACACCGCTCTCAACCCGCTGCCATAGCAGGCAAAATCAACGAGGCAACCATATAGCTGGTCTAACTTATTGTGCATTTCCATCTCTTCTGGAGAAGCAGAAAAGAGGGAATAAAATATCAGCAAATATTTTGAACTAGCAGCTCTCAGCCTCAACAATATTTATGGTTGATGTACCGCTAAAAGGCCAAGATATATAATCAGAAAGTGCTGGACGTTTTGTGCTTGTGCCATGCCTAACTTAACTATGTTCTTCTAACCTAGCACCCAAAAAATATATACCTCACCAATTTAGGTTGGGGAGTCTGGTTTCACTTTGAAAAGCCCGAAAATTGGTGTCTATGGAAGTCGATACAAGGCCTGCAGAGGTTCAGGCTATGAAAATACAAGCTAAAGGAGATAATTGCTCGCTGTTTGTTGCTGCTGTAGATGTATTAAATTTGGCATTCTTTGAAGTATGTTATTCTTACCTAATGCATGAGTTCATTCTTCCAGCCTGTTCCGACATATACGATTGTACGAGCAAGCTGCTTTGGCATTCTCATGGGAGAATATGTTGTGGCTGGCATCATCAACTTTGAGAGAGGCCTGTATAGGTATTTTGAGCTGCAGAAGATGAAGAGCTGGTATGTCCTATTGAGTGCTATAAAATACCTTGCATTTTTCTACTGTATAAAACTGCCTTTTCTGAGCCTCTTATGTTCAAAGTGAAAAGGTCCTCGTAGGCAGCATAGCCTTTTGTTTTGTTAATCATCACAGTTCGTGCTAATGTGTACTTACTGACAAGAAGATTAGCTATAATGATACATCAGTACTTGCTTTCAGAATAATTTCTCACATCAATAAGATAATAGTATATGTATTGTTTCCTGCTACTAGCAAAGTTGGCAGAGGCTGTAACTAGAAAGCGATACTCTTAAAATTTATAACAATACAATTGACTGATTTTCGTTCAAATACTAGTAGATCATCAGTGCATTTATGTAATATTTGTCGCAGTTTCTCACTCAGGATGTTAATAGTTTCCCTTTCCTCATTTGTTCACAAAGTTCACCAAAGTTTTGAATATCAGAATTTTTCATGGCAGAAATATAGGCTTTCAACGGCTCTTTGATGTTGGGCATGGTCTGAGCTGCTTCTTCAGTACTGTCGGATTCGAAATAAGTGTGGTTAGCGCTGTGTGTGCCAGTAGCTTTGTATGGCAGCTTCAGGTTTTCTAAATTAGTTATTTCATTCCTGTTTTTATGTGAATAAATGTTGGAACCGATGTTAGTCGGCAGCATTCACAGATGCTGTTAATGCCGTGTGCATTCCATTCTTCAAGAAAACACAGCAAGAGACACCGATACTGTTATAGTGGTGGGACAGAGCTGTGTGGATCTGGCATAGATGCTTGTGCTAAGCTTTCGTCTGTAACAACGAACTGTTTTGTTTCTTTTTTTTAAAGGGATGATATGATATCGCTGAACTTTAGGACCTTATCGGACTTGCGTGTTTCGATCCTCGGAGCTGGCGTCATTGGTGAAGAGAGTAAGTTCTTGCAAATTCTAGCTTTGCAACCACAAACGTACGAGATGCTCAATAATAATTGAGACCGGATGCTGTGACCACTCATCAATTACCTACATCGCTTTTATACTCTTTGCATTTTAAAGCATGGTATGCAAGTTTCTTGAGCATGTGCAACCTTCAATTATTTGTAACTCAGTCAAATGAATCACTTTTCGAGCCCATGAGTTGTGTTTTAATATGTTGCTTAATACTAAGGAACCATTGAAGCATGCTCGTGAACAAGGAAAAGATTAGAACACAAAGTTTGCCACCTTGTCTTTGAAACTAAGGCATGAACGATCCCTCCATTTGTTCAGTAATTTGTAGCCAAGGGAATTATTTGTTAAAGCTTTTCCATAGTACCCTCAAGCCGGTACGTTTGGGAAGAGACGTTCAAGTGTGTTTTCTGCTTTGAAGTTTGAAGTTTATTGTAACATTATGAAAATGCAAGTGACATGGTTCATAGATATTATAGGTATTGTTCATAAGCATTGTTAGTCCTCACCAGCTAGCCACTTCAAGCAGTAAATGTTAGGCAGCATCGGTATGAGCTTTGTGGAAGTTTTCAATGAGCAGAGAGTTTTCTGCGAGGAACAGTTTTACGTCGACTTGATTTGTAGTCTTTTACAAAAAAGTCACAGTTTCACCTCAGGGCGAAGCAATGGATAGGATAGCAATTGGAATGTCAAGCAAGGAGCGGCGAGAAGCTTGAAAATTGCAGCGCTCTTCTCAAGCACAAAGGACGCATGAAAAGGACATGCACGGGATGAGCGCCAACTAATGACTGTCACAGCTCGACACTTAAATCGCGCTGCTCAAATACGAGTAAGGCCACATGAAACAAATGCACACATATGCACCGTATGAGCGTGAACCGACAGCTGCCACAGTTGTTACTTCTTCCTTTTTGAGTAGCGTACTCTTTACACAAACACGATTGCTGCAGTGAGCAAACAACCATTTCGATTCCCATTACGAGATGAGCACCTGCGGGTGACCACGTCTCGTAGTGGAATTTCAGGTGGTAAGTAGGAGGTGGGTGCTTATTGCAGCAAGTGGAGTGGTGAGGATATTAAAGCATGGCCTTCGGGCCATCTCGCTGGTGATAAAAAGAACACTTAGAAGTGCCTCTGAGCTCCGTGTACCACTTGTAGTAAATTAAGTAGATAAATAGCTCGCTGTTAGCATGCTAAAGGACAGACATTCTTTGGCCAAGTCATTTAGTGCCATGCACTGAAGAGCTAGAGGTTGCAGGCTTATATTCTCAGTCGTGCACTTGGTAAACTATTTTAAAAAATCATTTTACTGTATTTTACATACATATACATAAACATACGTACATGGGACATGATGGCGATGGGGAAAACTAGCCGAGTGTGTCCACGTAATTGCTGTCGCAATAACATAAACCCTACTCTTTAATCGGGTACAGCTACGACTCTTGATTAGCTCTGTTGTTGGAGGAACAGCGCTAGAAAGAAACTACGTGTTCGATTTTGTTCTCGCAGGTGCATATTAGCTCAAAGTACAAGTGTTTCTTCTGGCACGCTTTGGTTTGTGCTGCCTTTCTCACAGCTAATGCCATAGGTTGTGATATGACAAACCAGGGATGGGTTTGTGACCTTGCAATTAGAGATACTGCTGTGTGGCTTATAATAAGAAAGGAAGCTTAGCTAGTTGGTAGGTATTTATGTTAAAAAGACAATGCATGCAAACACAGATCCAAGGGAGAAGTCGAGACATGCTGGCCTGGCATGTCGGTGATAGTGATAAAGCGTGCGGGAGCCAATCGTCAGATTAGCTTGCGTAAAAAAGAAATCAAGTGCCTTAACAGTTATCTCTCGCATACAGCACCACACATGCTGGATTGATAGGCATTTCCTCCTGCGTGGGCACGCACAGATGAGCTTTTGTGTACCTTCTTTTCCACCGCTCGGCACCTTTTCAGTTGTCAGTCCTTTAACATAAGGTGTAGCCTTCTATTTTTTCTTTGAGCAAATTACCTAGAACGTTGAAATTCTCAAGAATGGAGTTTTGATAGCATACTTTTTAGTTATGAGTAGTTCAACCCTTCTTTTTCTTTTTTATTACATTGCTAATGTGCGTATCTGTCTGATGCAGTTGCCAAGTCGCTTGTTCAATTTGGAGCTACGGTGAATGGCTTTGCCAGGCGAGCCAGGAACACTGAACAACTGCGGCGCTCATCTTTTCAGAAGTAAGTATAGGAACAGGTGCCTTGTTTTAAATGTGATTGAAATACTCGAATAAAGCCCTTTTGCATACAACTTTGCTACAGAGCCCATCTTTTAAATGCTTCCTATGTGGTATGTAGTTGATGAATGCGTACTCTAAAAGATTGGTAATGGCGACCTTAAGCTTGTGCTTATCCTTAATTTAGTGCATTGTCGACAGATATTACTTGTTGCTTCAACCGTGCCTATATATATACTGTAGTGTTTCCTTTGCTGCTTTTCTTAGTTTTAAGATGTATGATAACGACTCGGATTTGAGACAAAAAAATACCATTCGAATTATTGCTTGAAAATATTTCATACCCAATTCTCTTGCATATAACTAATCCCTGCTTATAACTCGCACCAAAAATGCAACTACTAGAAAAAAAAACATACATATAATCTTGCATATAATCTAAACCAGTTTTTTAAGCACTTTTTTTTTTGTGCAAAATATATGAGAGAAAAATACAGCGATTATGTTGCAGACAGTTGCAGTTGCCACTTATAAAATGAGAAAAAGAAAGTAGAGAGCTATTCAGATTCTTTTTTGGGTATGTCTATTGAAGCAATGTGAAACATGTGGCAAATCTAATCTGTAATTGTAGAAGTATTTAATAGAGCTGTGCAAATAGCCAAATTTTGGATGTGAAGCGAATTCAATTATTGAAGCATGAGTGCAATTTTAATTAACAAATGAATCGACGTGAAATTGTAGAAAAAATAAGTTGTAGGATTTTTAGTCATCTTTTTGTGAGATAGCAATATGCAAGTGTTTGTTTTCACTAGGTCGATGAAGCATTTGCAGGGTGCTATTTCAGAGTTATCTTATGAAGAATGAAGCAACGCAGTGGCTGAATTGTATTAGTACTTGATTTGGTGCTACCACAGTGTTGCCGACAGCACTTTACACATGAAAGGCAAATACCGTATTTACTCGCATAATAGGCGCACTTTTTTTTCAGAAAATCCGGCTCGAAGTTAGGGGTGCACCAATTACGCGGGGTAAAATTTTCGAAAATTTTTTCAACTCGGTTCTCGCGCTTTAAAGCTGCACACTTGTCAAGTAAAAGGCGACTTTATCGTTTACCAATTAATTCAGCATAAAACAAACATACCTACGTAACTTTTAATGAACAAGCGAGAGCCGTCAACTGCACACACACACGTAAAATTTGTTTACACAAAAGTCGTAGCTGTTCCTCCTTTTCCCTATTCGGAGTCCGAGTCGGAGATCACACATTCATCCTCGCCGAGCGGGGATTCGTTTTCGGTGTCCGAATCATCCGCACCCCACAACATGTCATCCTTACTCGCATCCAGTGCGTTCGAGATACTCGTCTTCTTGAAGCTTTTCCCGACGACTTCGTCGGAGATCGCCCGCCACGCTTTCACGATCCAAGCGCACAGCATTTCCACAGGCGGCCTCTTAATCTTACCACCTGTAGTCAGCTGATGTTGTCCTCCAGCCATCCAGGTGGTGTACAGCCTTGGAACATTGTCCTTGAAAGGTTTATTCAAGGACACGTCCAAAGGCTGCAGTATCGATGTGAGGCCGCCCGGAATCACTGCCAGATCTGTGCGCAGCTCCTTTAGCTCATCTCGTACGCGGTCTACTAGGTGCCCACGAAAACTGTCCAGGACAAGCATGGATGGCAACAACAGACCACCCGGCCGCCGACCCCAGACTGTAGTGTTCCACGGCATATCAAAGCAAAGGGGGGTCTGATCAGCGTTGCCGATCTGGGACAAAATGAAGTCTTTCTGCTGTCGGAGCTTTATAACAAAACTGTGGAAGTCCACCACTTTGTCCTCATATGCTGCGGGCAAGCGCTGGCACAAGGTGGTCCGCCTTCGCAGTGCGAGGCCATGGCGCTGCATAAAACGAGTTGTCCATCTGGAGCTGGCTTTGAACTCTTTTGCTTCGATGCCCTGCGCTCGGGCTATTCCGCGTGCCTCAGTCTGCACAATACCCAACGACACAGCACAGCCGTCTTGTTGTAGCTCCCGTATATGCCGGACCAATTGCTCTTCGACGTTCGGATACCTGCCGGTCTTGGCACCGCAGAAAGCCCGTCGTGTCTTCTTTGTCGCCTTAAGTTTTTCTTCTTGGTCCCTCCAGTACCGAATACTGGTTTCTCCAACGCCGAAATGCCTGCTTGCAGCCCGGTTGCCGTGCTCCAGCGCGTACTGCACTGCCTTCAGTTTAAACCCAGCCGTGTAGCTCGCGTACTTCCCCATGGTGGAACCAAAGTTCAATACACGACCACAACATACGCACACCGCTTGCAAAATGGCGTTTCTTTCTTTTTCTCTGATGGTGGTGATGGCCATCAAGCCCCCGGCGTTGTACACGTGACCTCCAAAAAGCGCGGCAATTTGGGGGGTATCAGTAATTGATGGAACAGCGGGTTTTTTTTTCCGCTCATGGACGCTTTTTTTTTTTTCAAGTTTTATTTCGACAAACACGTTGGTTAGGTCGTTGCACTTCGAATTTTTTTTATTTGCTCGTCGATTTGCCTTCTTTTTTTCTTCAGGGTACGGGGACCGCGTTCCAACTGTACCGCTGGGGGGTAGAATCGTTTCTGATCACGGCCAAGTTTGGGGTGCACCTATTATGCGCGGAATTAAAAAAAATCGAATTTTCCTCGACCAAACTAGGGGTGCGCCTATTATGGGAGTGCGCCGATTATGCGATTAAATACGGTATGCAATTTCTTCAGCCTCTTCTCCTCTTTCAATTTCTGTGGAAGCCCAACTGATGTGGCAAACAAGGATGCGCTCTCATGGAGTTCCAAATCTGCCTCTTAAAGGGACCCTGCAACACTTTTTAAGCATGGTCAGAAAACGCTGCCGATTGGTAGTAGAGGCTTCCGACAACACGCAAGCCCAATATTATAGCGCAGCACACAGCCTGGAATTCAGAATAAATGATCAAAGTCAGCTAAAAATAGCTTTCTGTTCTCTCGACAAATCACGGAATAAGCCCAAAAATTACTCGTAGTAAGCCCATCTATCAGCCATTGGCTGATTTGAACATGACACGCTCAGTTATTATGGAGTCTCCGCAAGTGGCCGTCACTTGTCCACGCGTGCAAGAGCAATTGCTCTGAATAAGCCCTGTATTCAAAAAAAAAAGGGGGGGGGGGGAAAGTGCCCAAGGTCATGAGTCGCGAGTGACGTTTTTTGTTTGCCCCTCCCATTCCTGCCTGCTTAGCTTCCAGTGCTTTCTTCGAGACGAGAGAAGAGAGAATGCGATTGCTGAGTGTGACAAATCTTTGTAACTCCGCTCATACTGGACAGATTCTTGAAATTTTTGCATCGTTAAATTTGTGAGGTAATACAATTTTCAGTGAATTAATTTCATGGTTACTCAAAAAAGTGTTTCAGGGCCCCTTTAGATGTCAACACACAAGAACATTTGAAATTTTCGATGCTAAAAATTTTCGGCGTCCGATTTTTCTGACTTCCTGCCCAAATTTTAGGTCCAAAATAGCATGAATTGATCACCCACTTCTGCCACATCTATCACATCCATGTTGGAACCAGCATTTTATCGAGTCAATACATTAACTGTAGCAGAGCCTGAAAGGCAGCTTTGATGCAGTACAAAACTGTAATTAGGCGAAGCATCCAAAAATTTTGAAGGGGCCACTTTTAATTTCACACCTGTATTTGTTTGACCGCAGTGGAGCCTTAAAGGCAGCTTTGCCGCTATACGAAGATGCATTGAGGTGAAGCATATTAAAGGTCTAAAGGTGTCATTGGTTTGACGTTGATTGCATTTGTGCCTGGGAAGTTTGAATATCGAAAATTTTAGCGCGAGTTGAATAGCAAATACTATTCGGAAATTTTCAAAGTTTCGAATATTTGCACACCTCTAGTATTTATACATATTTCCTGAGCAAATTGTAAAGACAAGGTTCTCTTCGAAGCTTTTATATCTAGTCACTGTAATATGATGGTTTTTGATGGCATCTACTCATGTCTAGGTACTGATTTATAAATAAAATATAGATGCATTAGTTCCTTTAATTCAATACCGGTGGCACCTAAAGTAAGCATGACTCAGTGTGGAGAATATATTCACCCGAAAATTGTCTGAAATGACCCAGTAATAATTCAGATGCAAACAATGCAATATTTAGTTTTCCCATCCTGCATGCTTCCTCGGCACAATGTTTCTTTTTGTAGAGATAGAGATGGCAAATTGGGTGACTGGCATCTTATCCATGATAACACTAGATTGTAAACAAGGAAATAGAAAGGTGGGAAACAAAAAAATCACAGAATATCCAAGGAGTGAATAATGATGAGTGAGCAAAGCTGCAAAGGTACACCGGTAAACCATAAATCCTCGTTAAATCTTGCCCAGTCGATCATCGTGCAAAGACGGCAAGCACGCGCTGCAGGCGTTACCCAAGCTCTCCGCTTCGCCAGCTTGTCATAGTCGCTCATACTCGAAGCAGACAGACTGCCGGCGCAAGAGGAAGCGCGCCAAGAGCAAACTTATTTTAATGCCATTGCGAGCGTGGTTTGCTATCACACGAGAGCACGTATCAGAGTGGAGTGAGCACTGCAGCACCATTTAGTGAGCAATCCGAGTACTAGCGGTGCAAGCGCCGCAGTGCCATCTAGTGAGTGCTCTGAGTACTAGCTGTGGCTGCTCTATCACAGGACTTGCCTACGCCTTCAAGAGCTTAGCCCTAATATTGCTCACCGAGCCTTTCTCTCTTCTTGTTTTTGAAAACAAGAGAGTGAGATGTTCTTGATGTGAAATACAGTAGAAGAGTTCATATTTAACTCACTTGTTCATGGCAGTATTGTCTGCAAATAGTAAACATTCTTTTACCATGTTAAAAATGTTTTGCAGAATCTCATTAATAAGATAGCCAGACAGAACTTATGTTTAAAGATAAAAGCTGGACTTTTCGAGTTTACAAGATGATGGTTTTAGTCTGACTGGCAAAACAGATACTGCAATATGAATAACACGACGGATTACCGTTGTGGTGTTGCAAGTTTCCACTTCTCTCACTGAACAGCTTCGTTGGGTAAACAAAACGAGATGTTTTCGCTTATACTGCTTGCTCAAAGGACAACCGGGCTCTCAGTAAGTTTTAGGTATCATCGATTACAGGTACCAACCCTGTGTGCTTGTATCCTGTAAGCTGTTGGGTAATCAACTTATGAGAAATGGAGAATACAGAATGGCAGTGCTGCTGGATTCACAGTGCAGTGTGTAGCTCTTGTCTGGCTGCGACCATACGCCTAGCACCACTGTGCAGCAGCTGTGGCAGCATAGCAAATCGTGTTACGCGAGTTTAACAATGAAAAATGGGATGTGCCCTCAACATTAGTGGCTCTATTCATGTTTCAGGATTTCTCCAGACCTTAACACGCTGCTTGAAGACTGTCAATACCTCGTCAATGCGCTCCCCAGCACCCCAAGCACCGTGGGCCTCCTCAATGGGGATGTCTTGAAGCAGTGCAAGAATGTGAGTACCGTTTTTCTTGTCGCAGTGTGGTTACACAGTGCTATTTTTGCCAAGCTCATAATATTGTTACGCTGAAGCGGCAACGTGTGAAGCGAGAAAGAAGAGAACAAAGTGGTCTGTTTTTGGAAGCAGATCAATGTTGGCGCGGCTACCCTTCGCCATTCGCTCTTCAATAAATATGCCCCATTGTAACAGTTTTGGTGGTGGTGCTGGGCACGATAACAGCGCCCCTGACGAATGGTGACTCATCGACCGCTGAGGTGCAATGCGCGGAGCTTTGCTGAAGCCGATGACTTGCTGGTCTGCCACCTGCGATGGCATCTCACGACAACAATGACAGCGAGCCACCTGCCTCCCGCATTCCGTGGCAGCCCTACATCCAGCCTCCATTCTTCGCTGGACAAGCCGCAAAAGATGTCGACTCGTGGCTCAGCTCCTACCAACGTGCGAGTCGGTTGGTAGTCGGTGGCTGGGATGCCACCGGCCAGCTCAATAATGTGGGACTCTTTCTCAAAGAAACCGCATCTGTATGGTTTGAAAACCATGAAGAAAGCCTGATGACGTGGCGGAAGTTCGTCGATGAAATCAAGTTGTGCTTCGGGGATCCGGCAGCGAAGAAGAAGCGTGCCGAGCAAACTCTTATGCAACGAGCGCAAGTCCCTGGGGAAACCGGCACGACATATATCGAGAAGGTGCTCAAGTTGTGCAAGGCACTGGAACCCTGGATGACAGAAGAGGACAAAGTTAGTCATCTTCTAAAAGGGATCGCGGAGGACGTTTACCAGTTCCTCATCGCAAAAGAAAGTTTGGAGCGTGTAAGTGACGTTATTAAGCAAAGCCGTACGTTTGGAGTGCTGAAAGCGCGGCAAATTACACCAAAAGTTTGGCCGCCTGCCCAATGTCACTAATATCGCTAGTGTCGACGTGCATCCAACCCTATCGGATCTGGCGCCCATGATCTGCCAAGTAGTGCGCGAAGAGCTCGACCTACACGAGGCGGCTTCTCTGAGAACGTTCTCTGAGAATGTCTGAGAACCCTTTTCTTCCTGCGACTTAAGCGCTACGACTATCAACGCTGCCTCCCTTGATGCTTACAACTATACGCCTCGTCCTCGAAGGCCAAGCCAAACTGTGCTTCCGTACGACCCATTGGAGGACGAATACGCGCGCAGACCACCTACCGGTTATCAAGCATGGTACTGCCGGGCCATTCATCTTTTTGCTGACCTCAGCGCACCCCACGAACGTTCTATACGCTTTCACTGTGGCATCCGCAGTCATGTCGCCTGATTCTGCCCCGATCACCTTCGCACGGGAGCACCGTCCTATGGGCTACCACACACTTTCTACAGTCGCAGCAATTGGCACGTTGACGAGACACCCTGGTCCTCAGACTCTGACAGCAGGCCAAACCATTGAGGGAATCACCACAGTGACTCACCGGCGTCTGTGTGAACCTTGACGCCACCACCTTCACGCTACCGAAAATCCCCATCTCCTCAACGACGTCCCACTTCACCGAGGTCGCCAGTCATCTTCAGCTACACGCTGCTACGCCTCCACCAGTGACTATGCATCATAACAAGATTTGTGTTTCTGTGCACAATCTTACGACGACAGCTTTAGTGCACACGGGAGCAAGTGTCTCCGTTATGAGCATAGATTTCAAAACACAATTAGGCCAAGGTGATGTTCAAGTGGGATATTGCGAGCACATTTCGTGCTGTGAGTGGAGAATTGCTACGACCTCTTGGTGTGTGTACCGCGAACGTATATTTCTCTAATAACGTCTATCAAGGCGAATCCACAGTGCTCACTAAATCAACGCATAATGTGATTTTGGGTGTAGATTTCCTGCAACAGTGCGGTGCCACTCTTGACCGGCAAGCTTTGTGTCTCTGCTTTTGTTGCCGACCAACCTGTTGCTTGTTCGCACACCCTCGCCGTCTGTGAAGATTCCATCGTACCGCCCCATTTGTTATCCAGCGTTCAGGTTACTGTTGCTAGTGCCGACAACAATGTATTCGGTGCTGTTGTTGAGCCGATGCCATCCACCGTCGCAAAGAAGGGTGTGCTCGTGCCTCGTTGTATTGTCTCTGTGGCCTGTGGCACAAGTACATTGTGGGTGTCAAATTTGCTAACCAGTCTGTTGTGCTTTCAAGTGGTATGTGACTTGCCTCTTTTGAAGCGGATATGAGCCTTAATATCGACGCCTTAAGCAATCACACTTCGAATGAATCCCGGGTGCATGGGAGTAGCCCTGGTGACCCCGAAGACTCTTCGCCGTTTTTGAACATGATTAGCAAGGCACTACCTTCTGAGAAGCATCAAGCCCTGGTCATCGTCCTTAGCAGGCATACCTCATTGTTTGATTTCACCCAGGACGCCACCAAAGTTCGTGCTCCCAATATGCGGGCTCGCCACAGGATTGACACGGGGTCCGCACATCCTATCAGACAGAAACCATACCGTGTGTCTGCATAGGAGCGCAAGGTGATCGCCGAACAAGTGGGAGAAATGTTGGCTAAGGGAGTCATCCAAGACCCTTCTAGCCCCTGGGCTGCACCGGTCATCCTCGTAAAGAAAAAAAAACGGGTCCTGGAGGTTTTGCATTGACTACCGGTGGCTAAATTCGGTGACGAAAAAGGGTGTGTATCTGTTTCCCTGCATAGACGACGTTATCGACTGTCTTCATTCGGCATCTTACTTCTCATCTGTGGACCTCCAATCGGGCTATTGGCAGGTACCTATGCATTCCGCCGACAAAGAGAAAACCTTTTTTGTCACACCGGATGGCTTGTTTGAATTTAATGTCATGCCATTTGGTTTGTGTAACGCCCCTGCGACATTCGAAAGGTTTATGGACATGGTACTGCATGGTCTCAAATGGGAGATTTGTTTGTGTTACCTCAACGACATTGTCATTTTTGGACGCACTTTTGCTGAACACAACCATCGACTTGACGTTGTTTTAACATGCCTTGAACAAGCTGCGTCTGCCTAGAACGGTAGCCATGAAATAGGAGATGAGTGATCGAATATTGTCGCAAGGTGAAAATAACAGAATACAGGACGATGGTGCGACCAGAAGAAACGAGGTCTGTATTAACAGAACAAAAGAGCAGCCGCTTCGAGTTCTTCTTTCTCGGAGGAACCGTGGGTGCTGTCCACACTCATCACTTCATCGTCCTCTGTCTTCTTGCCCGGCCTTTAGCCGTGACATTAGCCTCCCATTCAAGAAAGCACCGTCCCGATGCTTTATAATCAAAGCGGTTTGCACTCGTTGGAAACGCATGAGTTCATTCGGAGAAATAAGGCTTTATGCGTACCACGCACAACTTCTGAAGCATACTTTCGACGCCTCGAAGGGTGCGCAGTATCAGGAACAACCTCATAATTAATGTCACTGAGACGTCGCAGAACTTTATAGGGACCGAAGTACCGTCTTAACAGTTTTTCTGAGAGGCCACGGCCACGGCGCCGAATAGGTGTCCATATCCAAACTTTCTCTCCTGGCTCGTAGGAGACTGGTCGGTGACGAAGGTTGTACCGGCGCGAATCATAGTCCTGCTGGTGACTAATACGTAGGCGTGCAAGTTGTCGAGCTTCTTCGGCCAGCTGAGTGATATAATCAGCATCCGTTTCAGCGTCTTCGCACTCGTGCAGCAGCATAGCATGCAGCATAGTAGTGACTTCACGGCCATGAAGAAGGCGGAATGGTGTTGTTCTTGTTGTGTCTTGATAAGCCGTGTTATAGGCGAACGTGACATACGGAAAGATCTCGTCCCAGTTTTTATGCTCCACATCGACGTACATGCAGAGCATATCCGCTAGTGTCTTGTTGAGACGCTCCGTAAGACCATTCGCTTGCGGATGATACGCTGTTGTTCGCCGGTGGGATGTGCCACTAAGTCTTAAAACTGTTTGTAATAGTTTGGCTGCCAATGCAGTTTCCCTGTCAGTTATTACCACTGATGGAGCATCATGCCTCAGCACCACATTCTGTACGAAAAATCGGGCTGCTTCACTTGCCGTGCCCCTCTCCAAAGCCTTGGTTTCGGCGTAACGAGTGCGGTAGTCGGTGGCTACTATAATTCATCTGCGACCTGCTGATGAGGTTGGAAATGGGCCCAAAATATTTATTCCGACTTGAGCGAATGGAGTAACAGGCACGTCAATAGGATGGAGGAGGCCTGCTGGTTTGACGGGTGGAACTTTTCTGCGCTGGCAATCAAGGCACGTCCGAACATAGTGTTGAACGGTCGCCGTCAGTCTTTGCCAGTAGTATTTCTGCCTCACTCTGCACAACGTACGCGTGTAACCCAGGTGGCCGGATGTTGGTTCATCGTGGCATGCCTGTAATACTTCGCTCCTTAGAGATGTTGGGACGACGAGTAAGTAGTCGTTTCCGTGTGGCGTGAAGTTCATCTTATACAGGACGTCGTTGCGCAAGCAAAATGACGAAAGCCCTCTCGCAAACAGTCTAGGTACAGCTGAAGTGCGACCCTCTAAAAAACGTATTATGGGTTCTAGTTCGGGGTCGTCTCGTTGCAGCTGTGCGACAGTTGCCGTGTTTACAACTCCGACAAAGGCTTTATCGTCATCTTCTGCCGTCGCAGGTTCGTATGGCGCACGAGAAAGGCAATCAGCGTCTGAATGTCGCTTCCCCGATCTGTAGACCACCGTCATGTCGAATTCTTGAAGCTTCAGGCTCCAGCGTGCCAACCGTCCTAAAGGGTCTCTTAAATTCGTCAGCCAGCAGAGGGAGTGATGGTCGCTGGCAACATTAAAAGGACGACCATACAGGTATGGACGGAATTTTATAACCGCCCACACCACCGCAAGGCACTCTTTTTCCGTAGTGGAATAATTTTCTTCCGCACGTGAAAGAGTTCTGCTCACGTAAGCAATTCCTCGTTCTGCGCCATCCTGCCACTGCACAAGTACAGCTCCTAAGCCGACATTGCTAGCGTCGGTGTGCACTGTTGTCGGTGTGTCAT